TCTTTCCCTTAATGTTTCGGAAGCATGTTCTACCTAGTCTGTGTAACTTTAGACAAAGAGAGGTCTCCTCATCATTGGCAACAATATAGATATTAGATTCCTTGCCCACACCAATTTGATTACCAAAAGAAGAAATAGTTCCTCTTTGTGTTAAGACTTTCAAAGCCAAGTAATCATAACCAGCATTTGTCAAACGAAAACCATCATCTAAAAATTTAATAAAGTTTATTATTAAACATTTTTTTAATGTATTCTTAATAAACTTTACATGCAAAAATTTATATGCGACTGATTTTGAATGCCTTACATCGCATCCCTCGTTCATAGCTGAGTAACTTGTGCTTGCACAAATCTTTCAACAATTTCTGAACTCCACCATAACGCAGATTCGCTATTTTTGCAGCAAGTAATCCAGGTACAAGTTCGTGATTTTTCGAACATATTTCGATCTATAAAAGGTTAGGTTAATATTTAACTTAAACTATTTATTTTATATTAAGAATATTTTTTGTAAAAAAAAACAGGATTTAAAAAGTTAAAATCATTGTTTGATGCGATAAAATGTGTACAAATTTCATTGCAAGAGAAATGAGTATTCTATATATTCATCAAAAGAAAAGTAATACACAAGTAAGTTTTTTGAATAGTTTGTAAAGTTTTTTAAATAAAGAATAAGTTAAAAAAAAAAGTTTAGAAATTCTATTATAGGTTAAGAAATCCATACCGCTGTTAAAACACGAAAATCTTCTGCCGTTAAATATCGCAACAATTTAACATCCAATTTTCCCATGTTTGATAAATAGCTTAACAATTCGACAATAAAATTCGACAAATAGCTTATTTGATGTATGCACGCTACTACTTTGCAGGATTGATGTGAAAGATCATAAAGGTCTATCCAGAAAGACAAGACAGAATAATCGACCAATCGCGTGTTCGTTATAAAGGCTGTTATTTGCTGCGTCCTCTGTGCAAAACTGTGATTAGAGTTGACTTTCTGTGTATAATATGTATTACATGGTTTATATATATATATATATGCCCAAGCTGTATCGTAGGTTCGTAATAATACGTCATATGTCCCGTATTCTTCATCTTTTCTTTTCTTTCCAATACTTCAATATATATCTATTTCATTTTGACCGCAGAAAGAGTAACATAATACAGCTATATATATAAAGAATAGACCTTGTACTTTGTACATAATTTATCCAATTTAAGCACGACTACGCCTAGTAGCTAGTAGCAAGCTCACAAAGCGTCCGCCAAGAAGTTCTCTCTCCGAGAGAAAGCGTCAAGCGTCGTCGCTCGTCTCTCGTCTCTCTTCGAGATTGCGAGGATAAAAAGCGCGAACCGGTGCATCAAATTGTTGGCCGTGTATATATTATATATATATATATACGTGTGTGTGCGTGGCGCGCAAAAAACGAGCGCGAGACGCTACTGAAATTACATTGAAATTATGAAAGCTCATTCATGCAGAGATAACGATTCGATAGAGTATTAAATCGACCGTTGCAATCGCGGACAATGGGCAGTGTCGGCGCGTCTACGATCATCACGCACACCTGAGAATTCATCGCCCACCGCAGGTTGGTATGTAATTGCATCCGCGGTGTGCTAAAGAACACCTCGGGCTCTATCGACGTATGCATGCAGTTGACAGCACGAAATTGACAGGAGGTGCGCGTGTAACTCCCTCGTAATCTCGAGGTCACGCGCGACATTTACGCGACGCTCGTTTACGATATCGGCTGGTATGCCAAGCATTCCGTTCCCACAACAGTCTACAAAACTACAAATCATGTCGCGGCCACGTATAGAGAAACCAAATGCGGTATCGATAAGCACAATAGAATGCCGCGCTATCGCCGATAGCGAATGAAACGCTTTCGCGCGCATCGAGGTCCATCAAATTTCACGGGGATATTCGCGAGAATAGTGTTCCCTTTAATTGCGGTAATGCTCCAGCTACAATATCCAAATTCGACGACCGGTATCTTAAGTTATAAATATCTGTGGAAAAATCATGTTTATTCGCGATAAACTATAAGACGCGTCACGCTTCAGTTATCAATTCGCTTTTATTATCTCGCGAGGGAATTCTGAGTCATCTCTTCACGTGAAACGATTTTAATTTTGTAAGATCATGAATTACAAGTGTTTCTATTGGCAACACAATTTAGTCGATCGTGATATGTAGCAATGCTACATTAGCTGTGTGTGCGTATATGTATATATATATATATATATATAGATATGTGTATGTATGTTGTACGTAATGATAGAACTGAAGGCCAGATTAATCTTTGCAAAGTTCAAAAATAGTTGCTCTCATCATCCACTATCAACTGTTATAATTTAAGTTAAATTGTTCTTTCAAATTGATCAATCACAGAAATTATGAAACAAAATCTCTGATATTTTGTAGCATGGTATTAATAAAATTAATAAACTATTGTGCTTTTAATTGTTCTTGCTTAGATTAAGTACAGTTCAAATTTATAAGTACAATATTATTCATTTACACATGTATTATAATTTGCAGGAATAATGTTGAGCAGTATAACAAAACACATTTTACATTGCTGTCTGCTGCTCATAGTTATATTGATATTTGAATATGTGTCTGGTGGACTTCGATGGAATGCAGACCAAAAAGAAGAGATTGACCCATGGACACGATATGGCATTATCGGTGCAATTACTTTGTACCTGTTACGTACAGTGACTTTTCTTTCTTTGCCTCAAGTATTATTCAATTTTATAGGATTAACGATATACAATGCATTCCCTGATAAAGTAATCTTGAAAGGTTCACCTCTACTTGCACCGTTTGTTTGTATAAGAATAGTGACTCGCGGGGATTATCCACAATTAGTGAAAACAAATGTGAAGAGAAACTTAAATAGATGTATAGAAGCTGGTCTCGAGAATTTTCAAATAGAAGTAGTGAGCGATAAACCAGTAGGTTTAACACCGCATCGTAGGGTACGAGAAGTTGTTGTTCCTCCAAATTATCGCACAAGTAGTGGTGCCTTATTCAAGGCTCGTGCTTTGCAATACTGCCTTGAGAATTCGGTAAATGAATTAGCTGATCATGACTGGATTGTCCATCTTGATGAAGAAACTTTGATGACTGAAAATTCCGTTCGTGGCGTATTGAATTTTGTATTGGATGGCAAACATCAGTTTGGCCAAGGATTAATCACATATGCTAATGAGGATGTTGTTAACTGGATCACGACATTAGCTGATAGTTTCAGAGTAGCAGATGATATGGGAAAATTAAGATTACAATTTACTCTGTTCCACAAGCCATTTTTTAGTATGAAAGGATCTTATGTTGTCACACAGGTAATTTTTAATCACATTTTACTAATCTAATTAATCAATCTTATTACAGAAAAAAGTTAAAATTTGTGATGTTATAAAATTTATTTCTCTCTCTATATTAAAACAATAACAGATATATTTGTTATTTTAAACATATATTTACTATTTTATTATTTTTATACGTGTTAACTTTCTTGTAAAATATGCATTACAGATGGGAGCAGAAAAGCAGGTTTCGTTTAATAACGGATTAGATGGATCCGTCGCTGAAGATTGTTTCTTTGCGATGAAAGCATTTTCCCAGGGATATACGTTCAATTTTATAGAAGGCGAAATGTGGGAGAAATCGCCATTCACTCTATGGGATTTTGTACAGCAAAGAAAAAGATGGCTGCAAGGTATATTACTTGTCGTGCATTCCAAAGCAATTCCATTCAGAAAAAAATTATTGCTGGGTATTTCATGTTACTCATGGGTGACGATGCCGCTTTCCACTTCAAATATTGTCTTAGCCGGATTGTGTCCGATTAACTGTCCGCCATTGATCGATTTTCTATGCGCTTTTATCGGCGCGGTAAATATTTACATGTATGTGTTCGGAGTAGTTAAATCGTTTTCCTTGTATCGTTTCGGTGTGGCCCGATTTATGCTTTGTATATGCGGCGCATTGTCCACCATTCCGTTCAATATAATCATTGAGAACGTCGCTGTCATATGGGGTTTATTCGGTAAGAAACACAAGTTCTATGTCGTTAACAAAGAATACAGACCGCCAGTGACTGTATGATGTGTCATCAATTTACAGCTCTTATCTAACTGGTGCATATTTAGCAACAGTATAAAGTTTCCATTGTGCATGCGCATAATTAGTACCTGTAAATTTACATAGGAAAATACATCATTGTCACAAATAAAATATTTATAACTAGTATTACATATATAGGAATTACAAAATTCCTAAGATAAATGGAGCAGTAAATTTTATGCAAAGTATAAAAGGTATAAAGTAATACATAGCAATAGATACATATAGATCCAGTATTAAGAACATATTCTGCATTGGCATTAAAGCATTGCGCCAAATCTCTATTAAAAGTATTTGTCACTTATTAAAAATATATTTATGCCAATATCTTGTTCTCATAGTACAAGTCATATATGTCATATATACTTTGATCTCATGTAAACGTGTTTAGCATTCATTAAGTTATAAATTATTTTACACATGTTCCTTTTCTCACATTAAATTTACACATATGTGTACATATTTTAATGTAATTTTCAATATCATTATTATCATATCAATATCATATTAATTTTTAATTCTTGTCATGTTCAGAAATATCTCATTTTTGCCATATTACAAACATTTTTTTTTTTTTTTTAATGCCTCATGAAGTGTGCATATTGACAATTTCATATTGACAATTTCTGAAGTATTTAGATTATTTTACTTAATAGTAATAAGTTATACATCATTATGATTCGGGAAACTGTGATAAATCTTGTTTCGCCTATAACTTTTTTATATTTCAGGAAAATATACAGAATTTTATTAAACACAAAAACGCAAATTTAAAGAATGATGTAATAAGAATCACATAATATTTCGTTTTCTTGATATTTTCGGGATATTTAATGGTTTTATAAAATGCTTTTGATTTTATACATTTTATAATTTTATGGATTTTAATTAATGACAAAATACATATAATATTAGTGTTCTAATTATATTGGTTCTAATTTATAATTCTAATATGATTAGTGTGTGTGTGTGTATACAGTACTTAAGATTATCTTAATTGTTTACCAGAAGAGTTGAACATTTTTAGAGAGATTTAAAACGTAAATACATATTTACGTTTTTTTCCTTTTTCTGATAAAACTTTAAAACTTTACTGATGAAACTTTAAAAATTTATTGATAAAACTTTAAAAAATCACATATATCTTCTAAAATAAATTTAATTAGTATTTTAGATGTGATATTTATATATGAACAAATTATATGATTATATATGCGAAAAAGTTAAAGAAATTAGAAAAGAGAGTAGAAAAAATATAAATATAAAGATTAACTAAAAAAGAAATTTTAACTTTAAAGCTATTAAATTTCTCTTTACATATATATGACTATTTAAAATAAATTGCATCTTCTGTTATGTTGAGCAGTATAACAAAACACATTTTACATTGCTGTCTGCTGCTCATAGTTATATTGATATTTGAATATGTGTCTGGTGGACTTCGATGGAATGCAGACCAAAAAGAAGAGATTGACCCATGGACACGATATGGCATTATCGGTGCAATTACTTTGTACCTGTTACGTACAGTGACTTTTCTTTCTTTGCCTCAAGTATTATTCAATTTTATAGGATTAACGATATACAATGCATTCCCTGATAAAGTAATCTTGAAAGGTTCACCTCTACTTGCACCGTTTGTTTGTATAAGAATAGTGACTCGCGGGGATTATCCACAATTAGTGAAAACAAATGTGAAGAGAAACTTAAATAGATGTATAGAAGCTGGTCTCGAGAATTTTCAAATAGAAGTAGTGAGCGATAAACCAGTAGGTTTAACACCGCATCGTAGGGTACGAGAAGTTGTTGTTCCTCCAAATTATCGCACAAGTAGTGGTGCCTTATTCAAGGCTCGTGCTTTGCAATACTGCCTTGAGAATTCGGTAAATGAATTAGCTGATCATGACTGGATTGTCCATCTTGATGAAGAAACTTTGATGACTGAAAATTCCGTTCGTGGCGTATTGAATTTTGTATTGGATGGCAAACATCAGTTTGGCCAAGGATTAATCACATATGCTAATGAGGATGTTGTTAACTGGATCACGACATTAGCTGATAGTTTCAGAGTAGCAGATGATATGGGAAAATTAAGATTACAATTTACTCTGTTCCACAAGCCATTTTTTAGTATGAAAGGATCTTATGTTGTCACACAGGTAATTTTTAATCACATTTTACTAATCTAATTAATCAATCTTATTACAGAAAAAAGTTAAAATTTGTGATGTTATAAAATTTATTTCTCTCTCTATATTAAAACAATAACAGATATATTTGTTATTTTAAACATATATTTACTATTTTATTATTTTTATACGTGTTAACTTTCTTGTAAAATATGCATTACAGATGGGAGCAGAAAAGCAGGTTTCGTTTAATAACGGATTAGATGGATCCGTCGCTGAAGATTGTTTCTTTGCGATGAAAGCATTTTCCCAGGGATATACGTTCAATTTTATAGAAGGCGAAATGTGGGAGAAATCGCCATTCACTCTATGGGATTTTGTACAGCAAAGAAAAAGATGGCTGCAAGGTATATTACTTGTCGTGCATTCCAAAGCAATTCCATTCAGAAAAAAATTATTGCTGGGTATTTCATGTTACTCATGGGTGACGATGCCGCTTTCCACTTCAAATATTGTCTTAGCCGGATTGTGTCCGATTAACTGTCCGCCATTGATCGATTTTCTATGCGCTTTTATCGGCGCGGTAAATATTTACATGTATGTGTTCGGAGTAGTTAAATCGTTTTCCTTGTATCGTTTCGGTGTGGCCCGATTTATGCTTTGTATATGCGGCGCATTGTCCACCATTCCGTTCAATATAATCATTGAGAACGTCGCTGTCATATGGGGTTTATTCGGTAAGAAACACAAGTTCTATGTCGTTAACAAAGAATACAGACCGCCAGTGACTGTATGATGTGTCATCAATTTACAGCTCTTATCTAACTGGTGCATATTTAGCAACAGTATAAAGTTTCCATTGTGCATGCGCATAATTAGTACCTGTAAATTTACATAGGAAAATACATCATTGTCACAAATAAAATATTTATAACTAGTATTACATATATAGGAATTACAAAATTCCTAAGATAAATGGAGCAGTAAATTTTATGCAAAGTATAAAAGGTATAAAGTAATACATAGCAATAGATACATATAGATCCAGTATTAAGAACATATTCTGCATTGGCATTAAAGCATTGCGCCAAATCTCTATTAAAAGTATTTGTCACTTATTAAAAATATATTTATGCCAATATCTTGTTCTCATAGTACAAGTCATATATGTCATATATACTTTGATCTCATGTAAACGTGTTTAGCATTCATTAAGTTATAAATTATTTTACACATGTTCCTTTTCTCACATTAAATTTACACATATGTGTACATATTTTAATGTAATTTTCAATATCATTATTATCATATCAATATCATATTAATTTTTAATTCTTGTCATGTTCAGAAATATCTCATTTTTGCCATATTACAAACATTTTTTTTTTTTTTTTAATGCCTCATGAAGTGTGCATATTGACAATTTCATATTGACAATTTCTGAAGTATTTAGATTATTTTACTTAATAGTAATAAGTTATACATCATTATGATTCGGGAAACTGTGATAAATCTTGTTTCGCCTATAACTTTTTTATATTTCAGGAAAATATACAGAATTTTATTAAACACAAAAACGCAAATTTAAAGAATGATGTAATAAGAATCACATAATATTTCGTTTTCTTGATATTTTCGGGATATTTAATGGTTTTATAAAATGCTTTTGATTTTATACATTTTATAATTTTATGGATTTTAATTAATGACAAAATACATATAATATTAGTGTTCTAATTATATTGGTTCTAATTTATAATTCTAATATGATTAGTGTGTGTGTGTGTATACAGTACTTAAGATTATCTTAATTGTTTACCAGAAGAGTTGAACATTTTTAGAGAGATTTAAAACGTAAATACATATTTACGTTTTTTTCCTTTTTCTGATAAAACTTTAAAACTTTACTGATGAAACTTTAAAAATTTATTGATAAAACTTTAAAAAATCACATATATCTTCTAAAATAAATTTAATTAGTATTTTAGATGTGATATTTATATATGAACAAATTATATGATTATATATGCGAAAAAGTTAAAGAAATTAGAAAAGAGAGTAGAAAAAATATAAATATAAAGATTAACTAAAAAAGAAATTTTAACTTTAAAGCTATTAAATTTCTCTTTACATATATATGACTATTTAAAATAAATTGCATCTTCTGTTAATAGTTTTTGCATATCTTCGACATATCTTAAAAAAAAAATGAAGTTGATTTTAAAAAACTTTTTAAATAATTGATTTTGTTACGCAATGTTTCAATTATTAATATTTTATTTATTAAATTACGCGTATAAAAAGAATTCACGAAAAAACATTTTTAAATTATCATTTTATCACAGTTTTACATTTCTACAAAATATCTACATCAATATTTTTTGATTTTAACATTTACAAAAACATAATTTATCTATTAAATAAATTTTAAAATGCTGTTTAATTTAATAATCAAGTTAGGGCTTCCCACATAAACATACATATAATATACAAAGCATTAAATTTTATAACATAAACTGTATAATGTTTTTATAGAAGTTTGAAAGTTTTGTCTTTTATGATTTATGACAAATGATGATATGGAATGGACTTAGGAATAAAAAGCAATATATTTATAGCAAGACTTATTATATCTAGTCAAGAAGATATAAAGAATATTGAAAAGCACGAAAATTTCCATTATAAATATACATTCATAAATAAATAATATAAATTTACTAATACACTGTGTTAGTGCAATATCGAATATAATTATTCCTAAATATTTTATTTCGATAAAAAATTATAATTTTAAATATAGATTTGAATTAAATTAAATTTTTTTTAAATTCCAATTTTTGGTGATCTGCAAAATTTTTTTATTTTTCAATAAATTAATT